CTGTGTCTTACACATGAAATAAAGGAATCTCAGAGATGCTAATTGATTTGCCCTGGGTCTTCTGATGAGTAAGCTATGGGGCTAGATTTTGATTAAAAGACCTTTTACTGTGTGACATACAATTTACCTGCTATCTATCCAACTCCACTGACTCCTAACATGCAGTTTTCTTTGAATAACAGAATAACTGGTAGCATCTACAGTCTGTCGCTTAAACACACGGGTCCTGTTCTTAAACTGTTTACCCATGGGTTCCCCTGACAGTCTAAGTGAAGCCAGGGGACTATGCTCAGAATAATGCCTTTAAATACATAAGTAAGAGCTTGACAGAAGCCACTTATGTTGAAAATAAAGACGTACTTACTTTCCTACCCACGTTCACTGAGCCCGAGTCCCACCTGGGGATCCCCGTGGGAGTGCTGTGCAGCCGGCCATGTGGGGACAGGGCAGGGATGCAGGATGACGGTCCCCACAGCGGCTTTGGACTGCTCACACAGGCTGTTTTACTCCCTGTCTCCACCACCTGATAAAGAAGGTACGTGGAAACCATGGAAACTTTACATGGAGGTGACTTAAGCTGACAGAGGAGAAGCTACTTGTCCAGCACCAGCGACTACCAGAGCAGGTCTGACCTGTGAATACACGCCCCTCCATCTCACCAACCTGGCAACCAAAATGTTGAGAAAAGAATACGGGTATGCGGAGGCTTCATCTTTGTCTTTTTTTTAAATTCTCTATTAAAAACTTTTAAGACACATATACAATATCCTCCCACTTTGTAAATATTTCCCAAAAGAATCAAGAAAGCATATATAAACAGTATTTCAGGAGGTGGGTGTGGGTTTAAGGCTCACGAGGGGATAAAATTGAGATAAATATACACTGCAGGTTGAAAAAAAAAATCCCAAGGAAATTCGTATGAGGTAAAAGAAAATATGGGGAAAAAATGGGATAGCAAGGGGCTGGGGATTTAGCTCAGTGGCATAAGCACCTGCCTTGCAAGCACGTAGTTGTGAGTTTGATCCCTGATACCGGTTTAAAAAAAAAGGGATAGCACAAAAGGAAGTTACAAAACATGTACAACTTCTATTAAGAAATAGCAGGAAAGTAAGAGAAAGACAAGGTCTAAAAAGAGACACAAACACAAACACGTGCGCGCGCACACACACACACACACACACATCTCCATGCATCCTTGGTGAGATTTGGTGAAGGAACTTGAAATTCATAAGATCTCAATTTTCTCATTCTAGCAAGTGGCCCCTCTCCTACGTGATCTGACTGCAGTAAAGAGGGACTGGTGTACACGCACAGCAAATAGACTGATGAGCAGAAGTATCAAATAAGGCAAAAACAGGAAAATAACACGTCAGAACCCTTTTTGAGTTCTGTACCTAGATTCAAAGTGTGTTTTTAAAAAACAAAACAAAATTGAAGAACAAATCACTTAAACATAAGAATTATTATGTTCAAGGCAGAGAACCACAGCGATCTTTCTACTCAGCCCAGGCTTCTCACTGTTTTTACTATACTAGTTTTTTAGGATAGTAAAGGTAGAAAAAGTTAAAAAAAAAAAAAAAACCAACAGCTGCATACACTGGCATCCCGTGAATACACACACAGAAACAGACACACGAGGCGCGCACACACACACACATGTACATGGTGTATCTGTGTAGGTTTTACACCAGCTTGCAGTGGGTACAGCAATACGATACATTCCTACATTCCCCGACAGGAAACTGCTGGTAACTACATCCAGGGAGGAAATCAGGGCAAGCAGTCACTAGGAAATATTACCCAGGAGAGAGAAACTCTAAACATAAAAACGGAGTTAAGATTTAAGCTCAAGTGACATTCCTAAATATATTTTAAATAATCAGATCTTACAGAACACTCGAGTTACCATGTTGAAATTATTTTGAAGTTACAGAGTGGCTATAAAAATTGGGAGCAGACACTGAGGCTATTTCTTCTTTTTAAAGACAGCTTTAATGAGACATTACCTATATATCATAAATGTCACCTGTCTTTAAGCACATGATTAATTTGAGAATATTTCTGGAGCTGGGCTGAGGACATAGCTCCATCATAGCATGCCTGTCCAGTTTGCATGAGACTGAGGTCTGAGCCCCAGAAATGCAAAAAGAAAAATACTCCATACAGTATTTAGGCAGTTGTGGAATCATCTCTGTGATCTAATTTAAGAGCATCTCTATTACTCTCAAAAAATTAAGTCCATATAAAGTCATTCTCTAGGCTATTTTATTTAATGTTTATATTCCTTTTTGGAATTGTTAGTGAGATTAATTATAAATAGCAAAAATATAAAATAGAAATACCAACATATCTTTACTGAAAAAAATACTATAGTCTGACAAACAGTAAAATGTTCACACAATAGGTATGTTCTTCAAAGTGTTAACAACAGATCTATTAGGTGCCTGAGAATAATGCTTAACTTTTTAAAAACAAACTATCAGATATTTTAAAAATAGATACAATGTATTCAGCACTTCAGGCATCCACATACAACTTTCATGGAAATTACTCTGAAAGCTAAATATGTTTAATCACTAAATTATCTTCTGTCTATATGGTCACACTGCATACACCAAGTAATCCTTCAGATCATTTATTTAGCTGGTTTTTAAATTTATATCCACACAACAACAACAAAATGTTCAAAGAGCTGCCACAATCAAGCAAGAAAAGGAATAATACACACACAATTATGAAAGAAAAAAGTCTGCGAATCACAACTTCCTTTTTTTTGGTAGTGGTGGGGGGAACAGTCTTGCTATGTAGTTCAGGCTGGCTTTGAACTCACTACGTAGCCCATGCAGGCCTCAGATCCACAGGACTCTTTCTGCCTCAGCCTCCTGAGTCCTGGGATTAAGGGTGTGTGCCACCATGCGCAGCTATGAATTACAATTTACACGCTGTAAAAAATTTATATACATTTTTCAAACTGTATCACTGTACTAAATTCTAATATGGACTTAATATGTATCCACTAGGATGAAAAGTCATGAAAGCTTATTTCAAGGAGAGAAGGGTGCTATATGAATTTCTTTTATATAGAAAAGAGGATATAAGATTAAAAGATGAAATTAAAACTCACTTGTAAAAATATACGTATTGAATGATTTACTTAAAAATGTATCATACAAGTCAGGTAAGAACATATTTTTACTGTGCTAAATTAAACGATATAAGGTATACAGAGCTCAGCTGTTTATTATGATAGGCACTAAGTTCAAGTAATGGCTAAGCACTAAAAAGTCAGCACTTACCTAAATTCAGGTGCTGTCCAAGCATGGTGGTGCATACCTAAAATCTCAGCACGAGGAGGCTGAGGCAGGAGGACTGCCCTGAGTTTGAGGCCAGCCTAAGCTACTACTGAGTTTTAAGCCAACATGAAGTATACAGTGAGACCCCCCCCAAAATAAAACAAATATTTGGTAATTATAAGATAGTACAAAAATTTAAAATGTCAATAATAAATGCTTTCTATTGTTTACATGTTGGAAGATAATTTTAAAATTCATTTAAATAAAGTATTAAAATTAATTTCACTTGTTTCCTTTTGAATTTTTAGTATGGTTACTGGAAAATTTTAAACTATACCATACTTCTTTGAACAGAGACATAGTTCTCACTCCTACGGGTCCTACGAGATTCACATCCCTTTATCCTTAATAATGTAGCATGTTTTCCTTTAGAATTTTGCTGTTTTTAACATATGCTTACAAACACAGTGAGCGCTATACATTTTCTCATGAAAATGTGTATTATACATATAGTACCATAACTTGCTTACGTGACTTACTGTAGTTGAGACTATATCACCATATTTTTTTTTTTTTGTCTTTCTCCTTTTTATCGGTACCAGGGTTCAAACTCACGACTGCCTGCTTGCAAGGCAGGCGCTTATGCCGCTGAGCTAAATCCCCAGCCCCTTGTGTCACCATATTTAAACTAATCTTTTTCTTTTCTTTTCTCAGTACTAGGGACTCGCTTCATGGCCTCTGCATGGGCTACATCCCCAGCCCTACTTATTTATTGAGGCAGGGTCTTGCTAGGTTGCTCAGACAGGATTCGAATTTGTGATCCTCCTGCCTGCCTTGGCCTCCCAAAGTGCTGGGATTACAGGCATGTGCCCCCACCTTACTTATGAATTTCTTTTATATAGAAAAGAAGTAGAAGATTAAAAGATGAAATTAAAACTCACTTGTAAAAATATCATATGTATTGAATAATTTACTTAAAAATGTATCATACAAGTCAGGTAAGAACAGCTTACCTCTCTTTCTAATGATGGCTATTCTACACAGGGTGATGAGCCATAATATGCTTCAGAGGCCATTAATACATATTTAGGTTATTTCCCACATTCTACTGTCATAAACAATACTGCCAGGAATACCTCCCACACACATCTTTGTGCATATGTGAGGGTACTTCTTTTGGACACACTACAGAAGTGAAATTACAGGATCTCAAAATATGTCACCTAAATTGTGTCAGACACTAGTAAGTAGATTATTCTATTTCCAATTTTTTTTTTTTGGTACTAGGAATCGAACTCACGATCTCATGCTTGCCAGGCAGGCATTGTGCTGCTGAGCCACATGCCTGGCAATTATTCTATTTTTGAAACAAGAAGATTCTCTCCGTTTGAATGTCTACTTTGTATTCTTTGATACTGTGATTTGAGCAACTATTTCCAAGATGATATTATGTAATCTATTAACAGGTGATTTCTTACTGTTATGTTTTTTTTTTGTAGTTCTGTATTATGTGTAACCTTACACTGCTTTGTTTTGTTTTGTGTTTTTCTCTTTTTCCTCTTAAATAAAAAAAAAAAAAAAAAAAAAAAAAAAAGAAACAAGAAGATTACCTTGTGGTTTGTGTGTAATTTTTCTATGTGCCTCTGACAAAACAAAAATACAAGCTTCATGTCCAGGATTCAGTGAATAAAAACAATTCTAACTTACGCCCTGAAGTCAGCCCTGAAATGGCCCCTGCTGGCGGCTGGGGGTGCCTTCTTGAGAAACCCTCGATGAGGATTCTCTTCTCTGGAAATACTGTCTCCCTTTACCCTGCAGAGATCAGAAGTGAGTAGTCACTGGTGTATCTATTGATCCTCAGTCTCCACCCTGGCTGGGGCTCAAAGCCAAATCCCTGGGCCAATCAAGGGCACTCAGATTCTTTCTCCAGGGTTCTGAAATTCAAGATTCAGAGAGCATTTAAAACTAGTTATTCACATATCATTTTGCATTTCTGTACATGTCAGTTGTACTCTTCTATAAAGGTTTGTCTGTGTTTGACAAAACAAAGTCAGGTAGCACAGAACAACCAAATCCTTTTATTATGCTCAAATTATATTCCAGAATAATGTATGGTGGTCCTTTAGGTACACAGCAAAAATAGACTTATTTGTTTTTGAGCCAGGGTCTCATTATGTAACAAACTGGCCTTGAACTCTTTGTAGTCCAGGCTGTCCTCAAACTCACAGCAATCCTCCTGCCTCAGCCTCCTGCGAATTGGGATTACAGGTGTGTGGCATCACACCTGGCCCAAAATACATCATTATATAAGGACTTTTAAAAAAAGAACTATTACACTAGGTATGTGACACTTAAAAGTAAATAAACATTGGTTACACACTATTAAAATAGTCAAAGATGACAAAAAAAGTTTTATAATCAAATTAGTGATGTCTTTTTCTGCATAATAAACAAGAAAAGACTCCTGTTCACCTTGAAAACGTAGCAAGTCTACAAAGAAACTTCCATTTGCCAATTTTGCTTCAAATTCCCAATAGTTACAAAACATTAATACCTTATTTTAATTAAACATTTATATTTTAATTAAAACATTAATACCTTATTTTATAAAGACCGCTAAGTCCACCCTATTTTCGGTGGCAGCTTCTTCTCAACAGCTGTATTTCTCTTTTCCTGTGTCTGACCATGATTTCTGGCTGTGACATTTTGGATCCACAGTGCTTACCATATCCTGGTGACATAGCTTGTTAGATGTGCACACATTTTGAGAACATACATGCTTAATAGATAAACTATTAGAATGCACTTCTGTACTCAGAAGATGCCCAAACGTGCCCTGGGTAAGTGCCTGTGACGTGCTTGGTGAGGCTGTAACATCACAGACCCAGCAGAGGCCTCATCTCTGACGCTTAAACAACCGTAAGGACACAAAATTATACACAGAAACAAAGGCATCGGAAAAGGTTCCTCGTTCTCCTAGAACACACATGAACTTCACAAGGGTTATAAAAGTACCCATTCAGTTAGCAAGTATTCTACTCATATTTTAAATGAAAATACCAGGTATAGATGCTTACAAAGTCTGGATTCAGAGTTCCATGAAGAAACCGAAGCTCACCCAGCACACTTCCGACACACAGATGCAAGCGTCTACTCCATGAGGCTTCTTCTGTAAACAGGCAAGTGGGACTGTGCTCATCCGATCAATGCCTGTAGTTTTCCAGGTAATCTGACCTCTTCTCACTTCTTGTGGGTTTTATATTGCATTTCATGCTTTTATGTATGTCCACATCTAATCACCTTGGCACTGTCTTTCCTATTCACTATTTCAGTTAACTTTCGTGTCCACAGTATGATTTCTTTAAAGAAAAGCAGTTTCCTCTCATGAATCTGCATTCTTAAGACTTTCCTCCAAGCAAGCCCACTCATTTATTTATTTACATTTATTTTTTGTCTTTTTGAGACGGTTTTGCTATGCAGTTCACGCTGGTTTTAAACTGCCTTCAATGATCTTCCTGCCTCAGCCTCCCAAGTGCTGGAATTACAGGTGTGCGCCACCATGCCCAGCTAAGCCCACTTACTTAAAGTATAATCAGAATTTCAGTGCTCTTGGAAGACAAGAGAACTGCAACTTTTGAGATCAGTCTGTGCAATTTCTCAGTAACAAAGAAACAGCTTTGCAGCCCTGCTTCAGTGCACTCTGGGTTGAATCCCTCCTCCCTCCCCCAATCCCAGCTTATAGTAATTATCCTGAAGATAACTGATGACTCCTCTCTTTACAAGTATGTCTGACTTAAGCCTTAAAAACAAGACCATAAGGATTAAGACAAGCCTCAAGGATTTGAGTTATAAAAGCCACCAACTGCTCCTTTCACAAACCAATTTGGAAGTCAAAAGTCAGAATAACATAAAGAGAAGAGAGCAAGCCTCATTTAAGGAGCGCTCAGTGCGGATTGCTGTATTACCATTTACACCCTCGTCTGCAGTTTCGGAGGCCAGCGGGGAGCATTTTCAGATGTTTGGGTTTCTGTTTATTTTTATTCTAATATAATACAATCTAAAATATATATAAAATAATATAATACAATCTAAAGTAATAAAATCTAAAATATATACATAATATCATGACCACGTGAAATTGCTGATTTAGGGAGAACACACACTTCTACTATGTGTCAGATTCTAGAAATACAAAGAATCAAATGAATCGTTTTGCACTATCAAACCGTATATATCAAGTATGAGCCTGTTTCCTTCTTTTAAAGTAGTTTAGAATATGGTTTGGGCAGTCAGGGTTCAAAGTTTAGCTAACGATACAATGACATAAAAAAGATTTAGCAAGAAAACTACAGAATATATGAGTATAAAATGTAACTACTGTAGGAGTAGACGATGACAGTGCCTAAGGATTTGGGTCACATAAGCAGGTCCCGCAGGGAGGGAGCCAGGAGAGCTGGGTCTTCTGCGATGGGGGGCGCTAGGGTCACTGATGTGGGTGCTGCCTACACGTGGCGTGGCTGCAGCTCGGGGGAATCCAGGTGAGCAGCAGTTGCTGGTCCCATCAGGACTCACTGCCCCCGCCAGACAGTCGCAGCTGTCACGGAGCAGCCTGAGAGCGGCTGCAGCCAGCAGCCTGAAACTGAAATATGGGGGGACCACAGGCTTAGGACAAAGGCTTGGGTGTCTTCTCAGATAGGGCTTGCGAGGAAAAGAAATGAGAACAAAAGAACAGAAAAGCACAGGGACATCGTTTACTGTCTGGCCACAGCTACAAATGACTAGGACACATTAAAGAGAACAAAATGATTGAGTTAATACTATTTGCCAAAAAGTCATTTCCATGCAGAGACAAAAGAAAATTAACATCCTTATTTTATCTTTCGCTTAAGTAAGGTTACCTAAACTAAAGAAATGTGAGCTGACAGTCGGGCCTTAGATACACAGAAGAATACGCACTGCCAGTTAATTATCAGAATGTCAAGTCATTATGCCACCTAATTTCAGCAGCACACTTTCATCTGGGCACAAGTATGCCACTCTGGTCCAAAACAGAGGGCTGCGTATTAATCAGAGTGGCTTGCACAGTTAGCACAGTTTGGGAAGAAAAATCAATGAAGCTAACTTAGCTCTTTGTCTTTGTTCTCATTCTGAAGACAGGCATGCGCACAGACTGTAGGAAAGGAGGCTACAGACACACTGGCAAGCCTACTTCACCTCAACAAATAAACGTGTTCTGTCCAGCTTCGCTTGACTGTAGGTTTAAGTAATAATTTAGACGGCTCCTAATTAAACTGTCCCTCTATCGTACAGCTCTTGCCCTGTCATACGCGTCTCTCCTAGAAAATACTGAGCTAGGAATCCTGACAGCAGAGATCTGGGGAAGCCACAGGGCCCCTGTCCTGGGAAGGGACAGCTGCTGACCGGTTCCTCGAGTGGCTAAGGGCAGGTGGTTGTCAGGTGGGATCTCTAACGATACAAGCAATTCAATTTCTCTGTGTTTCCACAGAATTCTCACCTGATTATTCTTATATGATTAATGACATATCAAACTGTTATATAGTGCTTCCTATAGCCGGATATGATAGTAAGTGGTCAACTGTAAGCATTCCTTCAAACATTTGATTTAAATCCTAAAGTAAGAACTCGGGGATAACCTGCTATGCTAGACTGCCTGGTCCCCCGTAAAAAACCAGACTTGGGAGGTAGCTTACCAGAGACTTCACACAACGCTGGAAGCTAAGAGCCCATGTTCAAGGTGCCAGAAAACTCGTTTTCTGGTGAGGGCTTTCTGCCTGGTTTACAGACGATCCAAGTCCCACCGCATAGATAGGTCCTATGTCCAAACAGCTCATGAATGCCATTAATTTCATGATTCTGGTTGTGAACTGAATCAAATTTTCCTGTAAGGTTCAATGTAAATAAGGTTAACCATTCTGAGCCATATGCATTTTTTAATCACAGAACTGTGAAACAAAGTACAGTGCAGTCAGAATGAAGAGAGAACCCTGGCCTGCCTGGTCACTTTGTCACCGCTCTGCACCTTCTTTTTTTTTTGGTCTTTTTCTTTTTTTATCGGAACCGGGGATTGAACTCACGACCACACACTTGCAAGGCAGGCACTTTGTGGCTGAGCTAAATCCCCAGCTCCCCACTCTGTACCTTCTTTGGAGCCATGAAAAATACTAGATGTGCTAAAGGACGCAAGGAAGCTTCACAGCAAGTGTCCACAGGTCTGTCTGTGGTCATCATCGCAACCTGCGGAAGCCGCAGCCTCATGGCAGAGCGGGGAGGACGGCAAGCCATGTTCCTCAGGATGCAGAGTTCTGGAAGGGAGGCAAAATTTTGCCTACTGCTTCTGTTCTGAACCGAACTGTTTGTGAACAGGGTATTACTGTACTCATAAGGAGTTAGAGCTTCCAAATACAAATTTTGAGGGATACAACCCAGTCCATAGCAACTATCTGGAAAAATCTGTATATGGTTTTTACTGTTTGATAATATAGCAAGTCAAAAGAAATTATGTTAAACCTCAGCCCATTCTAAGAAACATCTAAAATTCAAGCACATTTAACAAAACAGGCATATTTTGATGTGTACGCTGTTTCTTTTTCCTCCTGAAGCACAATTTTGATAGGATCTGGAGTAAAAAATTAACACAATACAGTGCAGTCCTTGGGGGGAGTTTGGAATCTCACACATAAAAGCAGGTAATATAAATAAAATATGGCACATATGCTGCAATTATTAGTATGGAGAAGAGAGAGACCAGTTTAGGCTTTAGATCTATTACAAACTGGCTAGAGCTCTTGGCT